GGTTCAGAATTTGATGAAATGTATGTTGGAGTTGGAGCAAGAAGAGTGCGTGAACTCTTTGCTGCAGCGAGACGCAAAGCACCTAGTATAGTTTTTATAGATGAATTGGATGCAATTGGTTCAAAACGCAATCCAAAGGATCAAACATATATGAAGCAAACACTTAATCAATTATTGGTAGATTTGGACGGATTTTCACAAACTGAGGGGGTTATTTTCATAGCCGCAACAAATTTTCCAGAACTTTTGGATAAAGCATTGGTTCGGCCTGGTCGTTTTGATAGACATGTAGCCGTACCACTACCAGATGTGCATGGTAGAGTGCAAATTTTGTCACATCATCTAAAAAATGTTCAAATTTCCATCGATGTAGATATTAGCGTTATAGCACGTGGAACACCGGGTTTTTCAGGTGCAGACTTAGCCAATTTAGTTAACCAAGCGGCTATTCAAGCTTCCAGAGATGGCGCACAAGAAGTTGCAATGCGGCACATGGAATATGCCAAAGATAAAATACTTATGGGTGCAGAACGTAAATCTGCCATAATAACAAGTGAAAATAAAAAATTAACAGCATATCATGAAGGCGGGCATGCATTGGTGGCCTTGTATACGCCCGGGGCTTTACCATTGCATAAGGCTACAATTATGCCACGGGGTTCTACTCTTGGGATGGTTAGTAATAAGCATTAATATTTGTGTTGTTATTTATATAAATCTAGTTGAGATTATAATATTATGTGTTTTCCTACAGACAGTACAATTGCCTGAAATGGATAAAGATAATTACACCAAAAAAGAATTTCTTGCAATGGTTGACGTTGCCATGGGTGGAAGAGTTGCAGAAGAAATGATTTTTGGTAAAGAAAACGTTACAACAGGATCACATAACGATATTGCGAACGCAACAAATGTTGCAAAACGTATGGTGACATTATATGGTATGAGTGATAAGGTACGTATACCAACGAGTGACCTTATTCATCATGCTATTTATGTATTTCATTAATATTATCGCACATATGTTTAGGTTGGACCGGTGGCCCATCCTGAAGAAGACATGGATCAATTAAGTACTCAGACTAAATTAATTATTGAAAGTGAGATCAAGGCATTATTAGAGGTTTGTTTTATGCACATAAACGTTATTTATCCGAAGGACATAAATATCCGGTTTGGTTTTACCACAAAATCCCGAAAGACAGATTCTGGAAAGGACCTAATACCGACAAAGTTAGCCGGCATTGGTTATAACGTTGGCAAATTTAATCGGTATTATGTTCTTTCGGGAAAATGGATTTAGGGATTTTGTGGTAAAACCATCCGTTTGGCCGGACTGATTTTTCCTTCCATCTACTTAGTATTATTATTAATAACTTCATTTAATGAAACTTTATAATAGAGTGCTCAAATTCGTGCGACAAATATTTTAAAAGCTCATAAAGATGAATTACATCGATTAGCAAATGCTTTAATTGAATATGAAACTCTTACACAAGAAGAAATTGAGTCAGTCATTAAAGGCAAAGCTATTAATCGATGAAAATCTATTTATAAGTCTTTTTTTTTTTTTTTTTTTTTTTTTTTTTTTTTATTTACTGGACAATTTAACATTGGTTTTTGAGAATAGATTTTTAAATTGTAAAAATTATGTTCTTGATTTATTTGTTTCCTTTATTTTTTTTTTCTTTCCTCCTGACATGTTTAATACAGAGTATATAAATTTATGAAAATCATAATTCTTTTTATGCATTCATAGATTTCCTACATTAAGTTCATACTGGTTACACAAAAGTGGATGAGGTGACAGTGAGATAATTAACCACTGTTATTCAATGGACATGGTTAATTATAGGTTTACAGACTCTTTAATAACAATTTATTGTTATGTGAAATCTATTAAAATAATACAAAAAAAAACATATTTTAGTGAATTTGCGTTATTACATATATCTATCTTTAATATTTTAAATGTAAAATAATAATTAGATTGTTGATATACAAATTATAAAAAAATTATTAAAATTAAATTCCTAATAACCTAACATAATGAAATATTATTAACATCAATTATGAAATATTTAATACTAGTATATTAATATTTTGTCAATAAAATTTTTACTTTCAATATTATGTTGCTCTAGAAAAAAATTACTTTGAATGGTATATAATATTTAAACGAATTTATCAATGCATAAGTCATAATCTATACTATATATACTATATATTTACTGCCAAAGTCCATCTATGTATATTAATACTCACATGAAATTAAAAAAAGCTATAAATAATTAAATATGGTAATTGCCAATAATGTCATACAATATGTTGTAATGATTGATGATATATATGCGAATGGTGGAGAATTTGAAGGAGTACAACCAGGACAAGTAAATTCTGAAATATATACGTACGTACAATATATATTATTAGTATTAAATATATATGTATAAACATAACGATAATCACAGGTGACTGCTATTCGAATTTTTGTTACGTATTCATACTCCTCCAGTAATACTATCGATAATTACCTAACCAATTTTATAACAATTTTTTTTTATTTGAATTCTATAAATATATAGCATTCAAATAAAAAAAGAAATTAAAAAAATTTTTTGGTCGAGATGTCTTTGAATATTAATTTTATATATATTACTGAAGGATAAATAAGAATAACCAAATTGGGAGAAAATAATAATAACCAAATTGGGAGAGTACAAATAATAATGTAAAAAGATAATCAAAATTTACTTACGTGAAATATCTACGCGATCCTTTGGTTGATATAAAGAGAAAGTAAACCCAGTATATGATAACAGTCTACCAGGTAATGCGCCAGCGTCTTTTCCTCTTTCGTCAAATATATATAATTTATATTTAGTTACTGGTAAAGATGGTTCCCCTGTGTCCCAAATTGCCGAAGTAATATTCCCAGAAGCATTAGCAACAACTGTAAAGTATTGATCCAAGCTTACAGATGGTTGAGCGAGAACATTTATATATTTTGGTGGAATTGAAAAATTTGCAGAGTATTTCCAAGTAAAAGTAATATTCGTTCCTATCTTAAATAAGAGATTCTTTGCGGGAGTGGGATGGGTGAGTGTAATAGTCACTGGAGGTGTCATTGGATCAACGTATGGTAAAGTATCATTTCCCGTTGTACCATTTTTACCACTTGGGGCTGTTGAATTTGTTATTCCTGTTATAGTTGGTCCGTGAGAGATAGTCGTTGATAAAGGAATTTTAGAAGGTGTCCCACTTGTACTATTAGAAGGTGCCCCACTTGTACTGTTCCCACTTGTACTATTAGGAGTAGCTCCAGGTTGAGATGATGATGACGATGGTGTTATGGTTTGCGTATCTATATAAAATCAAATTGTATTAATATTATTATTATATAAAAAAAAAAAGTAATATGGCCTAAACCACTTTGTAGAATATTCACAGTCTTATACTTGACATATTAAGATGCAAATTTTATATCTATATTCTTGCACTATGTCTACTATACAAAAACATGGTTACCGATATTAAAATATATCTAGATAAGAACCGATAAATATTTTACAGAATGGTTTATATCGCGAAATATGTAAACTAGGTGAGTTATCCCAAGACTTCGGATCCTGGTCGGATGGGCCGATATTAATAATTTTACTGTATTCGAAATTTTACTTTTAGAATAATTTTCTCAATATATGTATAGTTGGCTAATATTGCTCAATGCCGACCAGGTTGTGATCCAAAATTTTGGAGCGTTGGTCTGGAGCATGACAGACAGTGCATGTTCACGTGATATTTTATAATTAGTGTTATAAGCACTGTATGTAGACTTATCACATAATCCTTGAGATTAGCATATGGGTGCTGCAAAGGAAAGCCTTTAATTCTTTATCTAATAAGAATTACAGGTTTTCTCTTTGCGGCATTCATATCATTCATATCACGTGATAATAGAAGACAAATTTCTAAGCTTGAACAACGATGCCTTAACACACGACCTATTTAGTTTCGATTTATAAACAGACTAGGTCGTTAGAATAAATTAAGCGATTATAATTGTACCATAACGATAAAGTATACTTTGCTCCAGACAATAAAATATTTTGTTGACTGTCAAAATTTACAATTCACGATAATGCATACCTCTTTTCCGTAAACTATCAGCTGAAATTTGTAAAGAAAATGATAATGCGAAAAGTATGACAACCAGAACTACCTTTCGCAATGATAAATACATTATGATTTTTTGAATATATATGCGTATCGAGAGTATATTATTATTTTTTAGCTTTTTTTTTTTTTTGGAAAATTAAATCTTTTACGGAAAAAGAAAGTTTTGTTAATTACGCGTTTTGATTTAGGCTGATATATCCGGAATTCTGATAATAAACCATATGAAATACAGAGAAAGCAAAGTTCCCTTGCTTTTTATTGCAAGGCAATACTTACTCTGAAGGCTTTATAAAGAAATTATAAAACTTTTAATTAAGGGATATTGTCAATTACGTGGAATAGAAAGAGGAATGAGCTCAAAAAAGAAAAATATTTAATATAACAAATTTGCAAACACGTCCCAAATTTGATTTCGATATACAGGTATATATATATGATTTGCTCTTCTACGCCAGACTCCTTGTCACACATGATTGAATTATAGATTCCTCTAGTTAATGTAGCTTTTTATCACTATATGATTTGCGTAAGCTAAAACTTTCAGCGAAACATTTACACTTACACGATGAGTCAAAGTAATTTAAACAATTAAAGTGCAATTTAATTTATCTTATTAAAGTCCGACCAACACACTTAATAAACAAAAAAATTTTGGTATATTTCAAAACACTTGCATATGTAATAATTAATTAAATAGATATATATATATCGATATTAACATTGTCTTTCCTTTTATCTATGCCTTCTCTTTTTATCATTGGTAGATAATTTAACTATTAAAAGATTCCAAAATTAATATAAATCATAAAATGTATATCGGGGAACCCCTAAATACATGTTCCTAATTGTTTATGCACATTCTCATCTGGCTCAAAAACATAATATATATATAGAAATTTACTTCTATAAATGCACATGTTTTAAAAAACTTCACCGATCCCGAGGGGGTGGCACTTAGGAGAGCTCTCCGCACGTAATTTCGTAATTTCTAGGTCATATTTAGTTACCAGGCTTCAAAGTCACCAGATTTTACGTAGTAGTGCTGAGATGCGAAATTTGATATAAGCATGTGACTTTTGATTTTTTCATGAGCAATTAACATTACATCCCTGGATTTTGCTAATTTTTGCTAGTCTAGTTTTGCTTTTAGCGACTGATAGCACTGATAGGCCTGTATTACTTTGATGCAAGCCGGTCAGAATAATTAAAGGTGATTAAGAGGTTTTAAGTATTTATTATAAATAATTTTGGTTAAGTTGTGGGTAGATATAAATATATATATGTCATTGGTCATGAAACGATTATATGAAGTTTGTACGTTTTAATCAATTATTTATCACGCCGACAGAACAAATTTATGATAACGCTATTTTATGCTTAAAAGTTATCATTGAGTTTACTCTAGACCATTACGTTTAATGATAAGTGGATAGATAACACTATGTTACACTTACTGCTGCGGTTAAAGCTGAATATAAATTGGAATGATTTTAATATGAAATCGGTATAACTGCTGCGGCTAAAGCTGGAAACTGCTGAAAAGAAATTAGAATTACAGTATTTTAATATGCATTTTTATATGTGGATTCATATTTTTAAATAGATCCTCGTTTCTAACGTTAGAAGTTTCCAGCTTCAGCATTCAAAAGTTCGTCAAATAGGATATTTACGAGGCCTTTATCTCGTGCTTAATCACGTGCGCTAATTTAATTGGTTAGTTTGTTATACCAACAAAATTTTCTACTGTAAAAAAAACCAGTTCGGTATAGGAAAAGGAGATTGTAGTAATAATTATTTTTGAATCAAGCCTTGTATTGTAGTATTAATATATACAGTATATCTTGTTAATAATGTATTTGTATACAATATGTCTTTATATTAAAAATTTATTCTTATAAAATTACTGTACAAAATTCTTAAAATTATCTACTGTATTATTATTTTTATACCATTAAAATTATCTTATTAAATTATTATAAAATTATTTTTATAAATTAAAATTATTTTTATTATTATATTTTTTTTGTAAAGATCATTATCATACTGTATTTAAATTTATATGTTTAAAAATAAATTTTATTGCATTTAATTGTATTTAAATTCTTTATCATATTAAAAAACAACGAGCAGAAATACTTATAATACATTTTCAATTGAACGACTCATTTTTATTATATGAAATTTACAATAACAATAATGATAACGATAAGTGTTAATTTATAATTTTGATATTAATAATTTGCGAGTAATACGTAGCAATGGGAGAAACTTAATGGGGAAATAATCAATCGCAATGAAATGAACTTAATAAATCGTTTTATGATAGATGATTTTTATATATAGAACTTCAGTTCTATGAAAAAAAGCCGGTTATTTATGTGATTTGACACTTACTGTTTTTATACAGTACATTCACGATTGATATTTTTAGTTTTTCATTTAAAATAACCAAAAGAATTATCTATCAAGAATTCAAATATGTTAATTCAAAAAAAATTATAGAATTTTTTAGGTTCTCTAACCCAATGCAAAATTCAAAAATATCCGATGTGTGGCTTAATGTTTATTTTAATCGAATGACAGGTCAATAGACTTGATTTCACGGGTATAAGACAGGTTTTTTACTTTTAAAGACAATTAATCTATTGACATTTAAGCCACAGTTTTGAACCTCATTTATATATTTGGCCTCAGATTTGATAAATCTAATTTTTTAATGACAAATTGTGAATCATCGAGTGTTAAAAATTTTTTTTCTGTATTTAATTTCGATATAGACGATATAGACTTGAAAATATTTATTTAATTATTATCATAAATTATTATCATAAAAAAATGTCAAATTTTACTGAACAACCAGAGCCTTCAATTGAAAAGATATCGATTCTTCATGAAGAATCCATAATTGTTGGATTTCATTTAACGGAATATATGATACGAGATATAATACTTAACATTCCCGTATCAACATATGTGTTAGTTACCGATTCAACTATTGCATCTCTTTATCTTGAAAATCTATCGAATCGATTTAAAAATATTGCTTCAGAATTAACTCTTTCTAAGGGAAATAATGCTGTTCCGCCTCGATTTTTTTCTTATGTGATACCTCCGGGAGAACAATCAAAGTCTCGTGATACTAAAGCTGAAATTGAAGATTTCCTTCTAAGTCAGTCATGCACTCGCGATACTTGTATCATAGCATTTGGTGGTGGTGTGATTGGAGATTTGGTTGGTTTCGTTGCTGCTACTTTTATGCGCGGTGTACCGTTTGTTCAAATTCCAACTACTCTTCTTGCAATGGTAGATTCATCTATTGGTGGTAAAACGGCTGTAGATACTCCTCATGGAAAAAATTTAATTGGTGCTTTTTGGCAACCTAAAAGAATATTTATCGATATAATTTATTTGGAAACTTTACCTGAACGACAATTTATTAACGGTATGGCTGAAGTTATAAAGACTGCGGCAATTTGGAAAGAAAGTGATTTTGTGAACCTCGAAAATGGCGTTGCAAGTATTCGTGATGCTGTATTAAATCCTAAAAGGGATGTTCCTTTTCAAGGTGAGAAATTTTTGGTTTAAAACTAGGATATATATATATATATATAAATATATATTTTTCAAGTTTTAACGAATCTCGATAATATTTTATACAGGTGCTACATTAGAAACGCGTACACCATCTCAATCACTCCTTCTTTCTGTTATTCGTAGTTCTGCAGAGTTTAAGGCCTATGTTGTGACAAATGATGAGAGGGAAAGTGGTCTTCGTGGGTTGCTTAATTTTGGTCATTCTATCGGTCACGCGATAGAGGCTATTATGTGTGACGTTCTCCTTCATGGTGAATGTGTATCTATCGGTATGGTTAAAGAAGCTGAACTTGCAAGAAGTCTTGGACACTTAAATCAAGTTGCTGTGGGTCGACTGGTTAGGTGTTTAGAAAGCTATGGTTTACCTATTTCTTTGGATGATAAAGTCATTCGAAAATTTGTGGGTAATAGACGGTGTCCTGTGGATAAGTTAATGGAAATCATGAAAGTTGATAAAAAAAATATAGGTGATAAAAAGAGGATCGTTATACTCTCTGGAATTGGAAAGACATTGGAACAAAAAGCTACTTTTGTTGCTGATTCCGCCATAAGAAAGGTTCTTTCTCCCGCTGTTTCGGTTATTCCGGTCACTTCTTCATCTAATGCTCCTAAACATGTAACAATGACAACTCCTGGATCAAAATCTATTTCAAATCGTGTCTTGGTGCTCTCAGCACTCGGAACTGGTACTTGTCGACTTAAAGGATTATTACATTCGGATGATACACAAGTTATGTTGGTTGCTTTGCAAAATCTTGGTGGCGCAAAATTTGAATGGGAAGACGACGGTGAAACTTTGGTCGTCACAGGCGGTGGTGGTTATCTTAAGGTTCCCGATAAGGAAATTTATCTTGGAAATGCTGGAACTGCTGCCCGGTTTCTTACTACAGTATGTACTTTAGTTTCCGGAGAGACTAAGACTGAAACAAAAAAGAACACTATTGTAACTGGAAATGCGCGTATGAAGCAACGACCGATAGGTCCTTTAGTGAATACACTTCGAGAAAATGGTTCTCAAATTAATTACCTTGAAAGTGAAGGTTGCCTTCCACTCGAAATAGCTCCATTAGGATTATGCGGTGGCAATATTAACCTTTCTGCATCTATATCATCTCAATACGTTTCATCTATTCTTTTAAGTGCTCCATATGCCAAGGAACCGGTGACTTTGAGCTTAACTGGAGGACGGGTAATATCTCAACCCTATATTGATATGACAATAGCAATGATGAATTCTTTCGGTATCAAAGTTGAGCGTCTTGATGGTGATGTGTATCGAATTCCAAAAGGTTGTTACAAAAATCCCAGTGAATATATTGTAGAAGCAGATGCTAGCTCTGCCACGTATCCATTAGCAATTGCTGCTATCACTGGCAATACATGCTCCCTTCCAAATATAGGTTCAGCTTCTCTTCAGGGTGATGCTGCATTTGCTGTTAAAGTCCTCCGGCCTATGGGGTGTACAGTTACCCAAACTGCTACAAGCACTACAGTGCAAGGACCCCCAATCGGATCACTGCGCCCTCTACCACAAATTGATATGGAAACAATGACAGATGCATTTTTGACTGCTTCCGTTCTAGCTGCTGTTGCTTCTAATCAAAGTGACGGAGAATGTATTACTCGAATTACAGGTATTGCAAATCAGCGAGTTAAAGAATGTAACAGAATTGCTGCCATGGTTAGTGAATTAAGTAAATTTGGCGTTACAGCATCCGAACTTCCTGATGGGATTCAGATACATGGTGCCAAAATTCAATCTCTTAAAGGTCCTGAGAAAGGAGTTGAGTGTTATGATGATCACCGAGTAGCAATGAGTTTTAGCGTGCTTGGATGTGTTATACCAAATGGTACGATTATACGTGAGAAAAAATGTGTAGAAAAAACATGGCCAAATTGGTGGGATGATTTGGAATCTAAATTAGGTATACAATTTGACGGTTTAGATATAGAACCAGAGCATGATTTATTAGCAAAAGACGAAACAAAAGTTTCAAAAGACAAATCATTGGTATTTATTGGAATGCGTGGTGTAGGAAAGTCATTTCTCGGAAAAATCGCTGCCAATTTATTGAACTATAAACTTATCGATTTCGATAATTATTTTGAAACTACTTTATCTATAACATTACAAGACTTTGTAGAAAAGCAAGGATGGGCAGCATTTCGTGAAAAGGAAGCTGAGATTATTAAATCATTACTTCAAACTCATCCTTCAGGCTACATAATTTCCTGTGGTGGTGGAGTAGTTGAAACTCCATCGTCCCGTGATTTTTTAAAAGCATATATACGCGAAAAAGGGATAGTTGTACATATAGTAAGAGATATTAAGGAAGTGGAAAAATATTTAAAATATTTAAACAAAGATACAGCACGTCCAGCATATGGAGAAACATTTCTCGATGTATGGAAGCGACGCGAGGGATGGTATAAAGAATGTTCCAATTATGAATATGTTACGATAACTGCAGGCGACGGTACCGATGATATTGATCCATCAGATTGGTATCGTGAAGAAAAAAATTTTAATCAATTTCTGAAATTTATTGTTGGACAAGAAACCAACCAGGTGAATTATGACCTAAAAAATAAGACTTTTTTTGTCTCTCTAACATATTCAGATGTGAGTCCCGCGTTGCAACATATACCTACCATAACTCATGGCGTAGACGCAATTGAACTTCGAGTAGATTTACTTTCTAACAACTTACACACAAGATCATTTGTAGATTATGTTTCAAATCAGTTGGCACTTTTGAAGCGTTCATCAACACTTCCAATAATTTTCACTGTTCGAACTCAAGGGCAGGGTGGTAAATTTCCTGATACTCGGGAAAAAGAAATGTTCTCCCTTTTAGAACAAGCATTAAAATGGGGCTGTGAATACGTTGACTTAGAGATTTGTTGGTCTAACGATTTAATCTCAAATTTAATCAAAAATAAGGGGAACACAAAAATAATTGCTTCATGGCATGATGTGACGGGTACTGTGAAATGGGATAGTGAAGAGATTCGTCGACGTTACAGGACTGCGGAAGAATACGGTGATATCATAAAAATAGTTTGTCGTGCAGAATCTGCTATTGATAATTTTAAATTACAAGAATTTGTTTTGTCATTAAAAACACGTTCAAAACCAATAATTACGATCAACATGGGCGTAGAGGGGCAATTATCTCGTGTATTAAATGATTTTCTTACTCCGGTAACTCATCCTCTATTACCTTCGAAAGCTGCTCCGGGCCAACTTTCAGTTTCCGAAATTCACCAAGCTTTACACTTGATTGGCCAACTTCCAAAGAAGAAGTTTTATCTTTTTGGAACACCAATTTCTCATTCAATGTCACCAGTTATTCATAATACCGGATTTGAAACACTTGGTTTACCGCATTATTATGATTTGTTTGAAACTGAGAATATTGAAAATGTAAAGTCTATTTTACAAGATTCGCAGTTTGGAGGTGCATCAGTAACAATACCTCATAAACTTGATATAATGAAATATCTTGATCATATTTCTGAGCACGCAAAGTCAATCGGTGCAGTAAATACTATTATTGTAGAAACTGATTTAAATGGTAATCGTAAATTAGTTGGTGATAATACAGACTGGTTAGGAATTTTTCATCTAGTAAGACCGTTATTAAGAATTGGTTCTGCATGTTCAGGTTTGATTATTGGTGCAGGTGGAACATCAAGAGCGGGGTTATATGCACTTCATCAGCTTGGTATATCAACAATTTACGTATATAATCGTACACCAGATAAGATTTCTGACTTGGCTTCTCAATTTCCAACATATGGAATCATTCCTTTAACATCTCTTTCACAAACATTAACACAACCTCCTCAAATAATTATTTCTGCAATTCCTGCAACATCAAATATGGAGTTTCCCGATGAAATATTTCAATTTAATAAAGGGATAATTGTTGAAATGGCTTATAAACCAAGAAGAACAAATTTACTAAAAAAGGGTGAAGAAAAAGGTTGGATTGGAATTGAAGGAATACAAGTATTAATTGAACAGGGAATTCATCAATTTGACAGATGGACGGGAAAAAAAGCACCTAGAAATATCATTGAAGAAAATACCTTAAAAAAGTATAAAGAATAATAATTAATATTTGTAATTTACAAATTTTATTTATTTTTAAAATATGATATCGGCATACGATTAATATATTTTTTGTAATTTTTATAAATAAGTTTTTTATAAAAAGAAAAAAAATAATATATATATTAAACCATTTATTTATGATAAAAGTTTAAAATACTATAACTTAATAAATGAGTACCCTATAAAAAAAAAAGTCCGTTATAGTTCCACTTTATAAATAAAAACTCCGTTAATTTGAGACCTTTCTGGAAT